GCTCTTTAAGGTAGTGCTCCTAATCTCAGCTTGTTACCTATATAAAAGACACCTGTCCACAAAAGCAATCAATGAATCAGATTCCAAACTCTCCACCATGGCCAAGACCACAAGAAACATCTGACCTCTGTGATTACCAACAAGGGTTTTGCCACCAAGTACTAAGTCATGTTTTGCAGAGGGGTTAAATACTTATTTCCCTCATTAAAATGCAAATCAATTTTATAACATTTTTGACATGCGTTTTTCTGGATTTTTGTTGTTATTCTGTCTCTCACTGTTCAAATAAACCTACCATTAAAATTATAGACTGACCATTTCTTTGTCAGTGGGCAAACGTACAAAATCAGCAGGGGATGAAATACTTTTTTCCCTCACTGTATAAGTTGATTGAGCTTGTAAAGACACTGAATCGCGGGTACTGTCTAGGCTCGTGTGAGCAAGTGAAGAAGCTGGTAATTGATCTTTGGGGCCGTCCATAAATGACGTCACGCACCTAGGGGGGGGGGGGGCAGACAGATTGGAGGACGAGGGGACGGGTGTCTAATTGCTAATGAGGCTATGGGGTTATTGGTGAGTGGGGACTTACAGGACGAGTAAGAGAGTCGGCTCACCCTCGAGAGTGGGAGATAGTTGTGGGGGGCTCTTGAGAAAATGGGATGAGTATGGGCTAGTCAGGGAATATTGTTTAATGGGGTTATTTGCACGTCCAGGGTGAGTACGCATGGGCAAGTCTATGTTGTGGTGGGGAGACGGGAGTTGAGTGTGCTTCAGGGCTCGTCGTAGGGGTTAGTGAGCAAACAGGGGAACGTGTGGGCTAATGGGGCTGAAGTGGCAGGGATGGTGAGCGTACATTAGCTAGCAGGGGCGAGTGTGGATCACTGGGTTGTACTTTGGTATGGTGAGAATTACAATGAGGGAAAAAAGTATTTGATCCCCTGCTGATTTTGTACGTTTGCCCACTGACAAAGAAATGATCGGTCTATAATTTTAATGGTAGGTTTATTTGAATAGTGAGAGACAGAATAACAACAACAAAAATCCAGAAAAACGCATGTCAAAAATGTTATAAATTGATTTGCATTTTAATGAGAGAAATAAGTATTTGATCCCCTCTCAATCAGAAAGATTTCTGGCTCCCAGGTGTCTTTTATACAGGTAACGAGCTGAGATTAGGAGCACGCTCTTTAAGGGAGTGCTCCTAATCTCAGCTTGTTACCTATATAAAAGACACCTGTCCACAAAAGCAATCAATGAATCAGATTCCAAACTCTCCACCATGGCCAAGACCACAAGAAACATCTGACCTCTGTGATTACCAACAAGGGTTTTGCCACCAAGTACTAAGTCATGTTTTGCAGAGGGGTTAAATACTTATTTCCCTCATTAAAATGCAAATCAATTTTATAACATTTTTGACATGCGTTTTTCTGGATTTTTGTTGTTATTCTGTCTCTCACTGTTCAAATAAACCTACCATTAAAATTATAGACTGACCATTTCTTTGTCAGTGGGCAAACGTACAAAATCAGCAGGGGATGAAATACTTTTTTCCCTCACTGTATAAGTTGATTGAGCTTGTAAAGACACTGAATCGCGGGTACTGTCTAGGCTCGTGTGAGCAAGTGAAGAAGCTGGTAATTGATCTTTGGGGCCGTCCATAAATGACGTCACGCACCTAGGGGGGGGGGGGGCAGACATTTGTGACGATGTGTGACGAGGGGGGGGGGGTTGAGAAATGTGACGTCACATAAAAATGCGCAACTTTAAATAAATATAGAAAACACGTTCAACTTAATTAAATAGACTTTTTAATAAATGTTTTCTCCTACATCAGAGTGCAGCGCCACATTAAATACGCACTACAATGACAAAAGTTTAAAGCGATTTGAAGCATGTTTAAAAAAAAATTGGGGGGGGGGGGGGCAGAGCTTTGTGACGTCATATTTGAGGGGGGGGTCTGAATTTTTGTGACGCCGTGTGACGAGGGGGGGGGGGTAAAAAATCGTCCAAAATCGCGTGACGTCATTTATGGACGGCCCCTTTCGCTAATAATGGTTATTCCTAGTAACGCACTGTTACAGCTAACAGATTACTTGGTAGTTAGGGTTATGAGAACACGCCACAATATTACGGTATCAATGATTCTGCGGAAAATATGATCTTAATTTGTATGTGCTGCAGTATAAGTGTAATGCACTTAGTCCTGAGAGGGGAGTTTAGACTACACATTCACATGTGCTTTGTATTATTAGCGTGTTAGTTTTATCCGGGCCACCCTTCCCTCGTATCGATTGCCTTGGATAAACGAAAATTAACTGTGAATTCAAATGTTTCCATAAGTGAAAAAAAAAATCAATATCTCGATTATTCATATACAGTATTCTTGGTTCTTTCGGTAAAGTCACGTTGATAGAAAATAAAAAAAATACAATTTTTATTAAATAAATTAAAATAAAGCAAAAAATGGCAAAAACCCACGACGTTTCGATCGCAACACAAAGAGGTCTTCATCAGGCGGAGATAAAAGAGGGGGCAAGCCTCCAAATGGAACTGCTTATAAGGGCTTACAAAGCGGCCCGCCGCACAGCTCTGCTCACTTTGAAAGCCCTTATAAGCAAACTTGATTTGGAGCTTTCGTGACTGCAGGAATTACTCCCTTTGGCTCTTTCGGTAAAGTCACGTAGAAATAAAAACATTAATTAAATAATAGCATACGACGTTTCGATTGCAACACAAGCAACCATCATCAGGTACAAATGAAAGAGAAAACAAACCGAGTAAACTTAGAAATATAATGCGATACAACACGGAGAGTCGGCTAACATAACAGTCAACACCCTACCTGGTCGATTTCGTTCTTCCAAAGATTGCTAAATTTGAGAGAGAGACAAAACACAGACACGGAGACACATAGACAGACACACAAGCAGAGAGAGAGATAACAGAGACACAGAGAGACACACATATCGGCACACAGAGAAATAACGCCTCTGTGTCGAGGCTTGTGTTGCAATCGAAACGTCGTATGCTATTTTTTTTTTCCCTTATAAGCAGTTGCATTTGGAGGCTTGTCCCCTCTTTTCTCTCCGCCTGATGAAGCCCGCTTGTGTTGCGATCCAAACGTCGTGGGTTTTTTTGCCCTTTTTTTGCTTTAATAAAAACAAAATTCTATCCACGTAACTTTACCGAAAGAGCCAAGAATATGAATTCCTGCAGCCGCGAAAGTTTTAAGTCATATACAGTACTTTAGTACAATTGCCTCCAGACATTCCCATGGTTAGCATGCCGGACTGAAAATTCATAACGTGGCCCGTTTGATTCGATCTCCCGGTGCGGCAGTTGGGACAATTGCCACGTTTTTTTTGTATACAACCGAGCAGTATAAATGGGTCCACCAGTTAGTCTATGGGCAGGTCGCTTGTGGTGGGGTAAAGTGTGGGGGTACCCCCTGCCTCTTCAAAATTTACATTTTTTGTTTGGGTGAAAACTCAAATGGTCAAAATAACAAAAGTAAAACAAATAAAAACAAAGTAGAGCAATGAAGGAAGAATAGATGGGGGAAAAAAAAACTGCATCACACAAGACATAGAAAATATTGCAGATACATAAATAAATGTTAAATAATACATCCCCTATAGCGCAAGTTGGCTCGGGTTAGATTATATTTAAACTGGTCGTGATCAACCCTCCAGTGAGCAAAACTTTTTTTTCTAATTACAAAACCTTAGTTAAAGAAAATCAGAATGATACTGTACTGTATGTGGCGACTGTTGTGCTAATATGTAAGCAGATACAAATGTCAAATGCCAGGAGTCTGTCCAGGGTAAAATAGTCGGCCAAATATCCAGTAAAGGAGCTCTGTAGCTCCCACGAGTTTAACAGGTAGGCTTTCGCGACTAATATCATCCATAATATAGCTCCCACAAGCTATAGGTCTTGACTTAAAACTTTTGTGACTGCAGGAATTCAAATGCCCCCCATACCACTCACCCCAGCACTGCCGGTGTCGGGGCTTCCTCCGACATTCACATCAGCTGCCCCCCCCACCCCCCCCATCTCTAAACCTTTATAAAACAGTTTGCCTTCAGAGGCTAACCTCCCTGTTCCTGATGACGGCCGCTTGTGTTGCGATCGAAACATCGTGATATTTTGAATCACTTTATTCATATTTTTAAAATATTTTTTCCCATCTACGTGACTTTACCGAAAGAACCATACCTCATGCTAATTTTGTCCCATTGTCACTCAGCCTTACCTTCTCTGCCTATTTAAGGCAACTTTACTGTGTGCTTGTCTCTGTGCTGGCTCGCTCTACTTGGTTGTCTGTGTGTGTGTGCGGTCTGTATTTTGAGTTTCATACTTTACTTGCAATTTATCAATCTTTTGAAATAGCGTGATCAACCGGACTATGCGTTAATTGTGTTTTGCCCGACCGTCTGTGTTGCTTTACATGGTTTCCAAAAAATTTGCTAAACCCTGTTTGTCTGGTATGCTTCTCTCTCTGTGTCCCCTGTTGTATCTGTGTTAGGTCCCCCTACTTGGGTGTCTGTATATACATCTGAGGTTATGTGTCTCCCCTCTCTCATAATTTAGCTCTTCTGTACCTGATGATGGCTGCTTGTGTTGCAACCAAAACGTCGTACGCTATTATGTTATTTTATTATTTCTTATTTATACGTGACTTTACCGAAAAAAAACAAAGAGTAACCATAGAAGAAGCTCTAAGTCCTTCCGCCAAGTGGCGTGAGCAGGGAATTGCAGGGGACTGCATCTCTGGCCTCTGTATGTGCTGTAAAGAAGGCTCATTGGCCGAAACGTCGCCAATTTTATGCATTATTAATATTATGGCCACACTGACGACTGTGTTGCATTACAGTGCTTTGAGATCCTTGATGAAAATCGCGATGTAATTGGAATTATGATTTTTTTTCGGGGGAGTTGCAGAGCTGCGCCTTTACCTTTTTATATGGGCTCGGTGGGGAGGGGGTGGGGCCACGGCACATCCGGGTCCCCCGCGCAGGCGGTGACGTCACGCGCGCGACGCTCGCTCCAAAATGGCGGCGGAGGCGTCTAGAGGCTGAGGGAGGCTCGCGAACTGTGTGGCCGAGGCGACGACAGCAACAACAACAAACAAACAAAGCAAAATAATAAACAACAACAAACAGAGCAGAAACCGGCGACGAGCTTTGCAAAGCGGCGCGCTAAGGTAGTCGCGTCAGCGCAAAAGCAGCGCGCTGTAAACGAGCGGGAGCCCTCCGCTGTTCAAGGCAATGCTAGCGGGTTGAGGTGTCGGTGGCGCTGAAAAGATTTTAGATTTTGACTCCCAAGGCGTTTTTTTTTGTTTGTATGTGTTTGTGAAACGCGAGCGGTGATTTACAACAACAGCAGCAGCAGGGTATCGGGGCACTGCTAGCGGCGTCGGCGGATAGATATTGCGAGGAGGGGTTAAAACAGCGGAGCCGCCGTCATGGAGGGGATGTCGCTAAGCGAGAGCGAGCAGAGCTACTACGCCGAACTCTTCGGCTACTGCGACGTGGACAACACGAAGAAGGTGGCCGCGTGGAGCCGCGTCAGCGAGCTCTTCAGGGCCTCGCAGCTGCCGCCAGACGCCCTCCTGCAGGTGAGCCCGGGCGCGCGCGGAAGGGTGGCCGTCGGCAGACGAGCTGCTGCTGCTGCTGCACGAGTGAGGGTGGCGGGCTGGGCGGAGGGGGGGTTGTAGGGGGTGAGTGGTATATGGGGGGTGAGTGGTATATGGGGGTGAGTGGTATATGGGGGGTGAGTGGTATATGGGGGTGAGTGGTATATGGGGGGTGAGTGGTATATGGGGGTGAGTGGTATATGGGGGTGAGTGGTATATGGGGGTGAGTGGTACGGGGGGTGAGTGGTATGGGGGGTGAGTGGTATATGGGGGGTGAGTGGTATATGGGGGGTGAGTGGTATATGGGGGGTGAGTGGTATATGGGGGGTGAGTGGTATATGGGGGTGAGTGGTATATGGGGGTGAGTGGTATATGGGGGTGAGTGGTACGGGGGGTGAGTGGTAGGGGGGGTGAGTGGTATATGGGGGTGAGTGGTATGGGGGGTGAGTGGTATATGGGGGTGAGTGGTATATGGGGGTGAGTGGTACGGGGGGTGAGTGGTATATGGGGGGTGAGTGGTATATGGGGGGTGAGTGGTATATGGGGGGTGAGTGGTATATGGGGGGTGAGTGGTATATGGGGGGTGAGTGGTATATGGGGGGTGAGTGGTATATGGGGGTGAGTGGTATATGGGGGTGAGTGGTACGGGGGGTGAGTGGTATGGGGGGTGAGTGGTATATGGGGGTGAGTGGTATGGGGGGTGAGTGGTATATGGGGGTGAGTGGTATGGGGGGGGTGAGTGGTATGGGGGTGAGTGGTATATGGGGGTGAGTGGTATATGGGGGTGAGTGGTATGGGGGTGAGTGGTATATGGGAGGTGAGTGGTATATGGGGGGTGAGTGGTATGGGGGGTGAGTGGTATGGGGGGTGAGTGGTATGGGGGTGAGTGGTATATGGGGGTGAGTGGTATGGGGGGTGAGTGGTATATGGGGGGGTGAGTGGTATATGGGGGGTGAGTGGTGTGGGGGGTGCGTGGTATATGGGGGGTGAGTGGTATGGGGGGTGAGTGGTTTGGGGGTGAGTGGTATGGGGGGTGAGTGGTATATGGGGGTGAGTGGTATATGGGGGGTGAGTGATATATGGGGGGTGAGTGATATATGGGGGGTGAGTGATATATGGGGGTGAGTGGTATATGGGGGTGAGTGGTATGAGGGGTGAGTGGTATATGGGGGGTGAGTGGTATGGGGGGTGAGTGGTATATGGGGGTGAGTGGTATGGGGGGTGAGTGGTATATGGGGGGTGAGTGGTATGGGGGTGAGTGGTATGGGGGGTGAGTGGTATGGGGGGTGAGTGGTATATGGGGGGTGAGTGGTATATGGGGGTGAGTGGTATATGGGGGTGAGTGGTATATGGGGGTGAGTGGTATGGGGGTGAGTGGTATGGGGGGTGAGTGGTATGGGGGGTGAGTGGTATGGGGGGTGAGTGGTATGGGGGTGAGTGGTATGGGGGTGAGTGGTATATGGGGGGTGAGTGGTATATGGGGGGTGAGTGGTATATGGGGGGTGAGTGGTATTGGGGGGGAGGGGTGAGTGATATGGGGGGGGTGAGTGGTATGGGGGGGTAAGTGGTATGGGGGGGGTGAGTGGTATGGGGGGGGTAAGTGGTATGGGGGGGTAAGTGGTATGGGGGGGGGTGAGTGGTATGGGGGGGTGAGTGGTATGGGGGGGTGAGTGGTATGGGGGGGGTGAGTGGTATGGGGGGGTAAGTGGTATGGGGGGGGGTTGTGGCTGTTGCACATGAAGGTGGATGGTTGAGAGGGGGGGGTCATGGCAGGAGAGTGAGGGAGGCCCTGCAGCAGGAGAGTGCGTGGTTGTCATGGTATCCTTGCAGCAGGAGAGTGGGGGGGTCACTGCTGCAGCTGAGGGTTGTGGGACCCCGTTCGCAAAGGAACCTCAGTGAGAGGCTGTTGAGGAAGAAGGTGATGTTGGGGGATGTCACGTTTTTCCTGCTACAGGTCAGCCTTGGTGACAGAGTATTGAGATATTTCTGCTGCAGGACAATGATTAGCAACGTGTCCCTGCTGCAGATGTGTTGTACTGTGCGTAAATGTCATTGTTATCGCGTCTCATTGACGTTCCCGTTGCGGGTGAGAATGGGTTTGCGACTATGTGAGGCACGCAAGGTTCCTCTGCTGCAGGTGATGTTTCCCTGTTACCGGTAGTCTCTTTGGGCCATGCTGTCCTCCACTGCAGGTGTTGTGGGATGTCCCTGCTGCAGGTGAGACTCTCTCTGCCGCAGGTTAAGCTGTTGGTCATGGTGTCTGCTTTCGCTGATGCTGAGTTGCCCCTGTTGTATGTAAAGTTATTGATGAGGGTGGATTGCTGCAGGCGATGTTGCTCGGTTGCATTTGAGATCTGTTATCACTGCTGCAGGTGAGACTTGACGTTGTGGTGGTCCTGTGGACGGTTGCAGGTGGCTTGGTAATTGTCGCTGCAGCAGTTTGAGACTGTTTGGTTGTATGTATGTTGAGCTACTTTCGCGCCTTACATAGCCAATCGTGCTAATCGTAGTAGTGGGGGGAAGGACAACAAATTAAACACAAGAAGCAGTTTTAAATCTGGATTTTAAAGTACATAGCTCCAGTGGCTTCCTAATTGCAGGTTGTCTCTGATACGGGTGAAACTTAATGTTGCGTTGGTGTTGATGCAGGTGATTGCCGTGGTTGCGCTGCTCTTGTTGATATTGAGAGGTGCGATGCCCTCAGTACTCTGTATCACTGTCTGGTGGCCTATGTAGGGCAAGTGCAGAGCTTGAAAAATAGCACGTGCTTTTCTATCACCTGTCTTGTTTCCCTCAGGATCATCTACTTTGTGAGTGCTCTGAAATCTGTAAGGCATGAAAAGTCCCAGGTTTTGTCAGATGTGTAATAATGCACCACTAATGTATTTTGCAAGTAGTTCCCCCCCCCCCCCCCCTTCTGGTATTTAATATAGTTTTATTCTCATATTCTTGGTTCTTTCGGTAAAGTCATGTAGAAGGTAAACAATAAAATAATAAAAATATAAAACAATAAAATTATAACGACGTTTCGACTGCAACACAAGCAATCATCATCAGGTGTGAAAACCACAGCAAGAAAATTTGAAAAAAGTGGCGTTTTTTAACGTTAGCACCACGGAGAGCGATTTGGCAGTTTATTCAGATGGACGAGTCCATCTATGTTCGGAAAAGAGGAGGGGGCAGACGAAAATAATGGATGCGGTCTGAAAGCCACCGTAACCGTGAACACTCAATTAAGACCCGAAATGGTTTATCAAATCCTTCCAATGATTGTTAATCCAGAATCCATCTTCTCGGTTGAAATTGTCTCTGTGTTTGTATATGTGGATAGCCTCATGAACGAATCTCTCATGGTAGCCAGATTATTCTATTGTTTCCCTTCTACGTGACTTTACCGAAAGAACCAAGAATATGAATCCCTGCAGTCACGAAAGCTTTAAATCAAAAGTTTTATTCTCGTTATTTTTCCTGGATTTTTTTTTTACCTGAGAGGTGGAAATCTGAGGAGGACCCCTGGGCTCTTGAGGCTAGTGAGCAGAAGTGTTTGTGGTCATAAGATGTTGGTGTGGAACTGCGCTGCTAAGTTGTATCTGCTTCCGCGTGAGGGTCACATTTTCTTTTTATAATCTGCTTTGCATTTTAAAAAAGAGAACTGGTGGTTTCCAGTTGAGCAGCTGAGAGAAGGCTGTAGGGAAACAGCCCTAAAGGAATTCCATTCAAAAAAACAAACGGCACGCAGGCGGTGTATAATTAACATTACATGTGACTCTTCAATGTTACGTTGGGTTAGGACCATTGTTTTAATTACGTTGAGCAGGAGCAGCTAGATAAGTCTCGCATGACAATACAGCATGTATACAATTGTGCAAAGGTCACGCATGACTAAATTGATGTGCTCCTTCTAAGAGAATGGCGTATGACTTAGTATATATTCATTAGCCTCCGTTGAGTACAGAAATAATGTTTACAAGGTCAGCTGATTTGTATGGAATACATTTTTGCAGCATTGAGTGTTTTCGTTATTATCGTAGCATCAATTAGTTGCATCTTGACAGAGAGAGTCCGTGAGCCTATAGTGGTTTAATTTCTGGTTGCAGTGCTTCCACATGCTTTTTGCCGCCATTATTAGTTATTGTTTTTGTTACAGATGGCCACTTATTTTATGGTCGTTCTGGATTGAGCTTTGTGGCTATTATCAAAATTTCAGGCCACTCGATACGACGACTTATGTGATTGAGCTGGGTGACTCAGCCAAAACAATACAATCGTCAAATTAATTTGCAGTTGCATTATTCTTGACATTAGGTTTGCAATATAGAGAATAAAGGATCTGTTGGAATGCTTTGGACCAGATAAAATTCACTGCTGTAACTCATAAGACAGTGCAGGACACGACCTATGTCGTACTGTACTTGGAATTGTTGCTGTATATGTCTGCTTGTGTGTGTGTGCAATGCGTTTGGCGAGAGGTAGCGCGCTGCTTTATGAACCCAGCTGCTCAAGTTCAATTCCCGCTCACGGCCAACACCGGTGACGAGTATTTGAACCGGTCCTGGGCCTCCCCTAGGTCGACTCAGCCTCAAATGAGTACCTGGTGTGGTGTGTAAAGATCGCCATCGGGGAGACAAAGGCGGGCCGGGCGTGGTGCTGGCCACCCACCCCCTCGTGTGCGGTTGCCGGCCTTCAGAGGTGCTCTCTAACAGCACTTGCCCCAACAGTCTGTTGAGGCTATACGGTGGATCTTTGCCTTTGTGCATGCGTACACAGCGTGGCAATGTGAATGAGGTGCAAGGGTGGCTCCAGGAGGTAATGAATTCTTGTTAACAGGACATTCAGATGCATGGGTCTGCCCGTCCCCGCAGCCAAGGTTTGATGTTTACAACGGCACTTCAGTAGGTCATTCACTTCTATAGATTGGTCCCCACATGTTTGTTTACAACGCACCGATGGTACAATTGGCCCAACACTGGAATTTGCTTTGT